CGATCCGATAGGGATTGGATTGAACTCGGCCAGAGACAACATTCCGCTGGTGAACAGACACAAACGGCGAACAGAAAACCAATATTTTTTTTATCGCTTGGAATAATTTTTTTTTTTTTTTTTATCGGTTAGAATAAATACATTTTCTTTATTCAGTATCTGCATTCCAATAATAGTAATAATAACAGTAATAATGGATATGCATAAATACATAATCTATCCCACTGAAATTATGTCCCAAGGCGGAGATGAAAAAAAAAGAAATCGGATTATTTCGAAAAATGTCTTGCTTCAAAATTCAATATCTGATGTTTTATTTATGCACGAAGACTCGAATAAAATGAAAAAAATACCTGAGAGTAAATTTTAATTCGGTAAACCGTTTGGATTTGTGTTCCGTACCACCGACGACGGTGTAAAGAGAAAATTATTATTACTTCTCAAAGCCGGGACGGAGGGGAGTGTGGCGCTCATAATATATTATTATTCCGCTGAACATAAAATAAAATAACAATAAATCGATGTTTTCGCCTCCACTGTACTACACAGTATTTGTTCGATCAATTTGGCCGTTGATAGTGTTTTTTTTTTGTGCCTGATGCTGAGCGATTGAGGAAAAGACGAAAAACACAATCGCCATTTACATCCCGTGACGAAAAACAAAACATAAAAATATCATACCTACACCTTTGTATACATGGTGTGACTGGTGTGAGAATGTAGTACATTACCTACCTATTACTCTTTATTGTGTGCTCATAGAGTATTTTAATGACAATAATATTACTGTGCAATGAAATAGAATGATACATTATTAAGAATTTTGGTTGAGTGAATACCACACGGGTGTCTCGACGATGACTGACTCTTCCTGATAAATGTTAGATGGAGCTTATTACGATAAGGATTTATAAGGATTAATACGGGATTAATATTATGTTTTTAAGGTGTGAACATTTATGCCGAAAACAGTTCCCGTGGTTTTGTGTCCTATTAACTCTAAGTATTATGAGAGGTATTGAAAATATGAATAGAGGTTGACTTCGAACTTTCGAACAGCAAGGTTGACGACGCGAACTACAGTGCAATAAGGGATTTGATCGGATTTAGACGTCCCGACGTCATGGGTTAGGTTGAACATAAACAAAACAAAAAATAAATAAATTCTCCCAGAGTATCTTCACAGTATTGTTGTGGAATTAAATACACGAATATTTTGATTGGGCGAATAAAACACGTTTATTTTTAGACGACGACCATTTTTCCTAATGAATTGATTGTGAACAAATGTGGTTGATTAGCGCATATTACGTGCTTTTGTACTTTAACACTCGGGCATACCGTGTGCTACGACATGGGTACGGGTATAATGGTATATACCTATACTACAGCAGTAGGGGATTTGAGATTCGTGTTGTCTTAGCGGCGGAAGAGGTGAGATAGAGAGACTCAAATAACGTATGCGACCACGTCGAATTCGTAGAACGGTGACAATGTTAATAATGATTATTATTATTATTATTATTATTATTAAGGAATTTACTGTGAATACGGTGTTACGATGTTATGTAGGTCATGAATTCGAGTACTACACGCAACAACCCGGAAAAGAGAGACGACGGCGGTGGATGGTTTCGGAGCCGGGTGGCCGGGACCAGTGCATAATATTATTATAATACAATATTATCATATTATACGTATACATTGTACAGTGGTAGAGAGCTGTAATTTTGGAGTGCTATATTCAGTCCCGTTAACCGACACGTCTGTTTGCACCCCCACCACCCTGGCCACGACACAACACCGGTCTCGCGTAATCCTGGTCGCACTTAAATATCTCTGCCCCGGTGCGCGCGTTCGTGGTTGCGGTCAAAGCGACCGAATTTTCAAAACGTATTATTATTATTATTATTATTCTCGTTAGTGTTCAATGTGCTCATACGCGTGTGTAAGATATTGTGTAGTAACATAATACATATAGGTAGAACGATTGTTTTACATACGAGATGATATCTTTTCTTTTATCACTCCCGCATTGTCATAACTCGTCGTCGTCTGGAATAATGTGTATGTGTGTGTTTGTGTGTGTGTGTTTTTTTTAACTTTGATTTCAATAGTTGATTTTAATATTTTTCGCTTTGTGCAAATTTCTAGGAAAAAGATTTTTTTCATTACATTTTATATTGTGACAGCTCTATTATAATGCATACGCAACACACTACTCGACAAAAAAAAAAATATGTATAAAAACATCAATTATTTGATACTGTTTTAACATTAATTGATTTTATATTTAATAATGAATTATATTGATATGAGCTGATAGTGGGGGTCTAGTATGAAATGGTTCTAAATCGTCTTTATGAAATTGTTCAGGAGAGAGTAACTGTAAGGTTTGAGATCAAAAATTGAACTCCTTGTAAATTTTTTTTTTACTTGGAGTTCTAAAGCATAAAGCAATTTGTACAGTTTAATTCAGAAAACTATAATAATAATTCGTCGTATTAGTTAGTATAAAAATTAATGAAATACAAATAATTATAAATTGTTTAGTATGATAAAGGTTTAAAATTCGAAACTTTTCCCCCTAAAATAAAATAAAAAGTATTTAATTAGAACTGTTACATTCTTATTTTTTTATTTAGTATTTTAATGATAAAATATTAAAAATGGTCGCTCCGTGTACCATAAAAGTATCGTGCAATAATACTGTACTTTGGTTGAGATTAATCGAATTAGAACCTTTTCATAATGACACTTTGTTAGAAATTTAGTTCCATTAACTTAGCGTTTTAAATTTGATTAAATTGTGTTTATTATTTTTGGCGATTTAGAAACTTTTACTTTTATAAAAATTGATAGTATAATGGTCGTATAATCATGAATGTTGGCTCAAAAGATTCGCCTTCGCATTCCAAAACCATTTATGTTAAAAAGTGACTTTTTACTAGCGTCATATTTTTATTTCATTCATTTTAAATTTAATTGTGTGGATTTAAATCCAAATCATTGCTCCATTATTTGATTATTAAAATAAACGGCTTAGTATAAGAATGGTATTTTCGATTTGTTTTTATTGATAATTAGTAATATTATTATTATATTTTTATATTCGTTTGCCGGCGCACTGTATAGGCAATTTAGGTACATCATTTTCGAACAGTATCACAAGAATATTGTGATAATATTATCATTATGTTATCGTTTATCATATTATTATTATCAGAATATTTTAAATAGTTCAAATATGGAGCTACCGTTTTAGTTTTACTACACTATATAGAAGATCGCACAGTTCTAAATCCAGTAGTTTTATTATTATAAAGAATAAACACCATTTTGACGTTCCATAAAAATACACGATCTGCCGACAAACAACAAAACAAAGTACCTATTTTATTCAATATAAATGGTAATCATTTATTTTTATATTCTTTTATTTTTTTGGAGGAGTGATGTCATCAAAAAACGTAAGCAAAAAAAAAACCACCGAATCATAGGAACTTTACTGTGGTTTTCTGTACTAATAATCTTATGATAATAATTTATTATTGTAAATCAAAAATATTAACAGGATATAATAAAAATATGATATATAAATTGTATTATTGTTATTACTGATACTGTGTTTAATAAAGAATTATGACATTATATGGACAGAATAATAATAAAATAATTTCTTGTTGTATTACTTTTTTACACCTGTGCACCAAAGTATACAGTTAAATACGCAGATACAATACGAAACTAAATACATCATATTATTGTTATTACTGAATGTAATTCTTTATGTAAGTACAACAATTTACCAACTGTATATTTTGTACATAATACCTATGTCATAATGCAGGTATCTTCTTCAAATACTTATTTTACCAACATAATAATTATTAACAAAATAATTATTACCAACATTTAAACAATTTACGTATTTATATAATATATATATATAAGACATCATATTGTTATGTTCGCCACTATGTGTATTAAAATATAAATGTGTGTTTTCGATGTTATTCGATGGTTCATATTTTATTGTGTGTGTGTGTGTGTGTGTGTGTGTGGTTCAATTACTTGTACCTTTTCAACTGTGGTATAATAATACGTGATATATGTAGTATTATATCTAGCAACAGGAGTTCCACCGGATATCGATACGGATGTGAACACGGACGCACGAAAAGCACCATGATTGGCATTTGATTGATTTGATTTATTTTTTCTCCTTCCTACCTATATTATTAATTAAACGCCACCGTACACTCTTCCGAATAATTACTAATTAAATTGCACGAACGTGTGTGACCTTATTTTTCCACCAACTCGATTCGTACAAAAGTTTTCCGGACGATATATTATTGTTTACACTGCGATTTTTAATTAAACATAATACATTACATGCCGTTGTACAAATTACATACTAGCGTGGTGCGTGTCCAATACAAATAAATCATCATTTGAATATTATGCATAAAACATGTAATATTAGACACGGTATGACGATGACATATTTTTCAAGTCGAAACGTTAATAAATCAATTAATCTATTTGTCGAGGTAATAGTATATGTATATCATACTTTATGCGCTTTGTTTGTATATAATAATTACTATAAAATCGTTTGAATATTGAAAAATAAAATCTCATTAAAAAATGAAATCATTAAAAAAAACTCAGTATAGAATTGAGTTAGGTATGTATGGTTTTAGTGAATTTGTGTATCGAAAATGGTAATAAAAATATTGTTCATATGAGGAATTTTTTTTTTTCACACAACCATATCGGTCACGGAGCTTAAATACTTATTATGCAATGCTTTATGAATTCATATTATACAGAATGTTGCACAGAAGATAATATTTATCAACAATATTTGGCTAAGTTCTTAACATTTAATAAATTACATTTTTTTTTGTTTCACGACACGTTAAACTAATTTTTAAAAATTGTAATTTAAAAGTGCATTTCTCAATACAGCTCGACGATTAAAATTTTACAATATGATAACAAATCATAATGACCATTGTGCAACCATTCACTTAGAACCATATAGCAAGTGCACTGAAATATTAAGACTATGGCAATGTAAAGATAAAATTTGCACGGAGAAGATTAAAGAAAGTATGAGTTTATTTATCAAGGATGAGAATAATGAACACAATGGACCTGAAATCGTTGGGAATATAAAAAAAAACTCGTTCATAGCTACAAGTATACGTCAATTAATCTATCAGTTATCAAACAACTACAAATACATAGAAAACACTAGCCATCGTTTTGTTACCATTCGGTATTAGATTAATTTACACACATTTCTGTATGATCAATACATTATGTACGTTGTAATTTAAACATATATAGTTTAATAATAAATTTAGTAAAACAAAATAATAAAAATTGAATATAATGATGATGATTATGATGATGATGATGATGATACAGACAAACTAAACCATTATTCAACGTATTATACATAATATATCAGGGGAATACCACATTTTTGTTTTTATTGTGATATAAATGTTGAAAAGGTGTAGGTATGTTGAGTACGTGAAATTTGCCCAGCAATGGCGTTGACGTAATTCGCAAATGTCTGTTTCCTTTCACACTATAATAATAAACTGTATCTGGAATTTTATATTTCTCCATTCAACTCATGGCATCACAAAGGCTACGCTTATATATTTCTTTGAAAATCATAGAAATCTCAATTCAACCTTTTTGTTTAACTACTCGTTTTTCTGGACTAAGAAAAATATACTTTTATAAAATCAAACTGTGCTCATATTTTTTAAAACTGATAATTTCAAGTTATTCTCATAGGAAAAACACACTACCACCCTATAGTAAATAAATAAATAACTTATCAGGACCCCAATTCAACTTCTGATTATATATTATGTTAACAATATTTTGGTTTATAATTAAATTTTTATGATTAAAAAATGCAATACACTATTTACGATGTACCTACGCATACATAAATAATAATTTAAGCTCAATTTCCAGAAGAATAAAAAATAGGTTCTTTACATATAATAATTATACTTTTTGTTGACAGCATATTAAGCTCACAGTATTTCGCACCAATAATATATTAATATTTTATGATATGAGGTGAACACTATATTTCCTGAAAATTTTAAATAAATCGAAATTAGATAAATGGTATAGTGAGTATATTAAAATGCATAGTACCTATAATATTTTCCAAAACTATATATTTTATTCTTATGGAAAACCATATAACTAGTAAAAATTATTATTATTCACTTTAATGTATTCGTTATAGCGAAACATTTGAGTATTTGTAACGTGAAACCTTGGACTAGGTAAAAAACGGTATAACTTGTAAAAAATGAGTAAGAAAAGTTAGTTGGCAAAAAAAGAACATTAAAAGTTATATCATTATTCTTATTATGAGCTTTGACCAAAAATTAAGACAGAAAATCATGACAGTTTCAGTCAAATTAATATGCAGTCATTAATATTTATTACAAACACAAATTTATTCACGGTAAATTGACAAAATACGTTTGGTATACAACGAATACAGTTTTTATTACTTCATAATGTTAAATCAATAGTGATTAATAAGTAAAAACTTACTTCATTTTTTTAGAAATAACTGCAGCCAACCTATTTATAACGAATATTTTGGTTTTTATAATTAGCGATGGTTTTTTATAATCTGTACTTAGAGAAATGTTTGGATATAATTTTGTTTTATCCAAATTTATGATATTCACTGTGCTAAATCGTGGCACAAGTACACGGGGTGATCCATTTAACGTAATCACAAATGTTATTGAAAATATTTCTTCTACATATTTTTAAGTCATTACAAAACACAATTTTTTAATAAAATTATATTTTTACTTATTTTATAACATTGTAATGTTCTTAAGATTTACTCTATTCCTTGAAAACATATACTGTAAATTTCATATTCTAAAGTAGTATATTATTCGGAGTATTTATAACCATCAAAAAAAAAGTTTAGTTGTAAAGTTTTGACACACGGATTAGTGGATCAACATTTTTGGGGTACCTCTTATCTATACTTTAAATACCTATAAGTTACAGTTACAATTCAAAAAAAACTCATCCAAAATGTAATTTTTATGTATTGAAATACTCCAAAAATTATTCTGCTTTGTAATTAGGAATTAAAAATGCATGTTATTGTAATTAAAAAAAAAACTTAAAATATTAAAACAATAAAAATAGTAAGGCACAAATTTTTATAGGAAAATGTTATTTTTAACGATTCAAAATTATGTAAAAATTTATTTTCAAATACGTTAGTAGTTTTTGAAATATTGAGTGTTTTCCATTAAATGGATCATCCAGTATAATATAATAGATCATCCTTGGTTGTTACGGATATGCAAACTTGTCTTATTTCACTCACACAAGTGTGCTCTTTACCAACTGGACTTAAAAAAAATTGTTTACTAAATCGCAAAAAAAAAAAACTAATAATAAACCAGTATCTACAGAGAAGCTCTTAATAACAACGTTGTTTGTGTGAGTACCTAAACGAAATGCATATATTTTTGGCGCAGTTCAATATTTTAATGATTCCTTTCATTCGTTTCAATACTTTGTGAACGTACATTATAATTGCAAATACTAACTATAATATAGCCGTTTGTTATACAACCCCTCGTCGATTATTGACTTCGATGTAGAGGTATCTTCAATATGTAAAACTGTCAATGCCAGGAATGTACGGGACGGATTGATCCCTTTGATTCCGGTTCTGGGTATTGTGGTAATTAAAACCATCGTTTCCCGTTCGTGACAAGGGACTTGTGCAGAAAAACAATAATTATTTACGTATCCACAACTGTATATGAATCAGTTAATTACACGTGAATGAGACTTTTTTGTGCCATCGAATTATTTATATTTATAATATAGTCAAGGGGTGTACCTTCACCACTTCATGTCTTTCACTAGTCGCTTCACATGGTTATGCCGACTTTAGATTTTCAAACGGATAACCAGTTTTGATATCATGTTGAATTTTAAATAATAATAATATATTAAAGTTATATTATTACTATAATTGTATGCAGATTGGTTTTAATAGTATCATGTCGAGTATTTTTAAGAGTTGGATTTTTAGATTACTGCGTACCTACGGAGTATAGTACGGAGTCAGAGATGTCAGTTTTAGGTAGGTCGACCTAAATATAACATGTGCAATTTTTGGGTGAGTGTTAGTATAAGCTAAATCCTTCTGATAAATAAATAAATAAAATATCAAACATCAAAACTTGAAACAAACCTATCAAATGATGGAACAAAGATTATTAAAATTGCTTATGAATATGTATTTATTGTTTTAAGTTGTCGTTTTATCATAACTATTATTTGCTACTCAAATGAACATATTTGACACCAAGTATTTGAAATATTTCACTTGAATAATCAACCGAGATTTAGTAAGCAAGTAATAGTATGTGAAATCAATATTCTATTAATTTTAATGGTGAAATTGTATTTGCTATTAAATATACACATACAATTGTTTTACATATAAATATATAGCTAAATAATATTACTATGATAGAAATTATTTTCTTTAGTTTTTGTGGTTATTAAAAAAAAATGTTTATGATTGAAAACGATGCCTATTATATTTTTTATCAAAGTGATTTTTTAGATCTTATTTGTTTATTTTAATTTAAAAGAAATTTTACATTCTAAAACCGAATATTTGTCTAATATCAATATATAAATATAAAATATTGAGGCATACAAACATGAGTTGATTATTAATTTATTATAAACAATAAGAAATTTACAGTTTAGATAAGTGGAGTGGAAAAACGATTGTAGAGATAAACTTTTAATTCGGCTTTCACTTTTAATTTTTTATTTCATGCTTAAACCAAAATCATGCTAATTATAAATGTTAGCATACAAATATTATAATATTATGCAAATCACATGCCATGTAGTTTCCAGACATTCTTTTGAAAATTTTAATGGGGGGAGTCTAAAGAACTGAAACTGAAACAGAAAAAAAAACTAATAACAATTGAGAAACAAAACCTTAATGTAACTATATTTTAATATTTTAAAATAACTGAAACATGTTAATATTTTTTTCAATTAAAAAAATGGGTTTTACGATGATAATAGGGATTAGTTTTGTTTTTTATCAGTTTGGCCATATATATCTGATGAGCACTCCCATATATTATATGGGAGTGCTCATCAGAGGAGTTCCTAGATAAACTAATATTATTAAATAACATTAGATTATATAAGCAAATTCAAACAAATCTAACACATTTTCTGTTTAGAGTCGATTATTTGCAAGAGATCTTAGCGATGAAATGGCTATTTATATTAAGTTTATATTATTTTGATTTATTACATAATATGTAATGTACCTACCTATTTTATTATTTTATGTTATCATAAAAAAATCACACAGTTGCTGAAGAATAACTTTTTTTTATGTTTGTACTAGTTTATTACAGATTATATTTATATTTTTCAAAACCCATAACCAGAACCTTTTATGAAATAATCTAGTTTCAGAATCAGAACCAAAATTAAAAAAAAATATATAAAATGTTTCAATCCTTAGTGAAAACTGCTGAGGACACGTATGTTACTTTTAATCGATTCTTACAATTATTATTAAATTAATTTGTATTAAATAATGGCAGATGAACTTAATAAATATATGCAAACATAATATTATATTAAATTTCATATCATAATAAAAGTATAAATTAGAGCTTAAAATCACTTAATACTAATAACAGCTTTTTTACTTTCTTTCTTACTAAAGTATTTCAAACAAACATATTCTAACAATTTACTGATAAAATAAGTTTTCTGCATTAAAAAATCACCTTATGTGATGATGTTGTGATGATTGATCTAATTGTTAAAGGGTTTGCCTTAAAAGATTAGATGAGCTGTAAATATTAATTTAATGCATTCTAGTTACTGCAAAAGTTTTCTAGGTTAATTGTATACATAGTATTTATGAGATACGTAATGGGAAACATAATCATGGACATTGAACACTGGTATGGGAAATTAAAATTAATCTAGTTTACAAACCACAATTAATGGTGAGTGAGTATTTTTCCATTAAAATATTTGAAAGCTCCCACAATTGACAGGTTTTTCATGAGATATTCTTATAAAATATATGTTTCGGTACTATAAAAACTACAAACAAAATGTATTTTAACCACACCAGACAACGCATTTAAAAGATGTTTATAGATACCCAATGCAAAAATAATCATACGATATTCTA